GCCGAGCAGGGAGCCCGATGCGGGACTCGATCCTGTGACTCCAGGATCATAACCCGAGCCGAAGGCAGTCGCTTAACCAATTGAGCCACCCAGGCGCCCCAATAAACTTTTTTTTTTAAATTTTTTAAATTAATTTTTTAAAAGATTTTATTTATTTATTTATTTGCCAGAGAGAAAGACAGAGAGAGAAGGAACACAGTAGGGAGAATGGGAGAGAGAGAAGCAGGCTCCCCACCGAGCAGGGAGTCCCACGCGGGGCCCAATCCCAGGACCCTGGGATTATGACCTGAGCTGAAGGCAGACATTTAACGACTGAGCCACCCAGGTGCCCCTTCTTTTTTTGCCCTGAAGATTTATTTATTTATTTTACAGAGAGAGCATGTGCTTCAGTGGGGGGAGGGGCAGAGGGAGAGAATCGTCAAGCAGACTCTCTGCTGAGCGCAGAGCCCATGGGACTCCATCTCACAACCCATGAGATCATGACCCATGAGATCTTGACCTGAGCCAAAACCAAGAGTTGAACGCTCAACCAACTGAGCCACCCAGGCAACCTGATAAACTTTTTCTTAAAAGGCCAGTAAATATTTCAGGCTTTGAGGCCATACAGTCTCTGTTGCAACTACTCAACTCTGCTGTTGTAGTACAGAAGCAGTACTAGACAGTATGTACACAAATGGTCATGGTGTTCCAGTAAACTTTATTTACAAAAACAGGCAGCTGGCCATGGTCAGTAGTTTGCTGACTTTGAGGTCATATGTTTTGCTATCATATACGTAAGTAATTACCACATACGCCATTTGAGAAAATCAGGTCAAGGCCTGATCTCATCAATAGACCAGACCAGTTCTTCATCCCTTACTTGAATTAAAAAGTTGAACAACTGAGATAATCAATGATGCCTTTGAACAAGAAAGTTTTATTTATTTATTTATTTTTTTTTTTAAAGATTTTATTTATTTATTTGAGAGAGAGAGAATGAGAGACAGAGAGCACGAGAGGGAAGAGGGCAGAGGGAGAAGCAGACCCCCTGCTGAGCAGGGAGCCCGATG